TAATGATCTAATGGTCTAAATTGCATGGTGGCAATTTTGTAATTATTGAGGAGTCTCGTGGCATTTATGAATGTTTAGATCTGACGATTGTAGATCTAATCCAAGGGTTGAGAATTGGTTTTACGGGTCTCACGAAAAACACTTGGTCTCACATGATCTCAAGTCTATATATGTATATATATATATATCTATATATATATAGAGAGAGAGAGAGAGAGGTGGGTTATTATACAACTCTTTATATTTGTACAACCAATACAACGCAATCTTAACCGTCTATTTAGTTTGATCAATATGTGATTTCATAGAAGTTTTGATTGTTTCCTAATATAAATTATTGATCATAATTAATGAACTCTACTTATCTTCCATAAATATTCAAATCATGATAAATGAACTCTCATCATTTCCATAAATATCTCAGTTAATTGGGTTGCATTGGTTGTACAAATAAACATGATTGTATTTGAAATATACCCTATATATGTGTGTGTGTGTGTGTGTGTGTATATATATATATATAGAGAGAGAGAGAGAGAGAAGGGGGGGGGGAGGCGGAAGTTCCGTTTGGAACTCAAAATTGATTAAGGACCCATGAACCATCAACGCTGCGTTACGTGTCTCTTTTCAGGATAAATATTCATCACAAATAATACCTCCATATGACATTCATAATATGAAGTTATTGTTCATCATGAATCATACATTCATAATGAATATGGAAGCGTTATTCATCATGAATATGCCATGTGTTGCGTTGTGGATGTTTCCCCAATTCCTAATCAATTTTAGGTTTTTAAAGAAACATGCCCATATATATGTATAGGTATATGTATATGTATGTGTATGTATCTATGTGTATGTATATGTATATGTACATGTACATGTATGTATGTATATGTACATGTACATGTACATGGATGTATGTGACAGAATTTGCATACCCTGAAAGAAGAATATACAAGATGACACCCAAAGCCCACATATCAGATTTGGATGTTATCTTTTGTTGGGATAATGCCTCAGGAGACACATAATCAATGGACCCAAACAACCCCACAACAGGATCCGTGAACTCCTCCACTGAACTCAGCCCAAAATCCATTATTTTCAACGCTGAATCTTTACTTTTATCAAGAAAAAGACAGTTCTCAGGTTTCAAATCCCTATGAATCACATTGGCCTTGTGCAGCGCTGCCAAACCGCTAGCGATCTGTTGAACCACCTTAGCGGCTTCGGCCTCCGAGTACCGTTCTTGAGTCACTATGCGGTCAAACAGCTCTCCGCCGGAACATAGTTCCAAAACTAGGTGGACCCCAGTGGGGTCCTCACATACGTCATGTAACTGGATAACGTTGCAGTGAGGGGACACCTCCTCCACCACTCTTTTCATCACCATGATCTCGTTGGCTAACAAAGCGTCCGAGATCAGAACCTGCTTACGACTCGGAAAACCAACCATCCCACCACCGCGGCCACCACCACCGACTCTTTTCAAGGTCTTGATTGCAACTTCTTGTTCACCGTCTGCAAAGTCTCCTTTTGACTTCTTTACACCTTTTCGTACGATGGAGAACCCCCCTCTTCCCAAAATGGTTGTCACTTCATATTCATCACTAAGCTTTCTTGTTCCATTTTCCATTGGAATCTTGGCTTGATTTGAAATGGGTGTTTGAGAAAGTGAATTAGAAGGTCAATGGAATTTGGGATTAACAAGTGATTTCAAGATTTCTTTAATTGTGTTTGATTAGATGGGTGATTAAAGAAATGGGATTAATTTAATCATAAATTTGAGAATGATTAGAGCAAGTAGGAGTTGGATGGAATAAACGTGTAGGATGGGGTTTCACAAACAAGAGACAAATTCAAAGACCAAGTCAAATTATTGGAGTTTATAAAATCAAAACACAAAATAAATATTATTATAATATTTAAAATCATAGATCAATTATTATTAATTAAATGGGCTTTTGGCCTAACACTTCTGAGCATGTGGTCTTCTAAAAGGTTAGGGATACAAACCTCACCAAATATGAGGAGATTGTGTGAGTTTATTTGTTCAATTTACCATACATAAATATTATATAGTTAAAAAAACGTATTTTGTTTTGATTTAAAATATACTTTCAATATAATTATTATAAGTTTATGAAGGAAAAAAAAAGAATATATAATAAAGTTTATAAAAATTTCTCATCTAATCTTAATGATGGGAAAAAAGTTACCTAGTCAATTCTAAAGTATCCCTCGAACTAGTTTCACTAATAAACAAACAGATATCATATGAAATTTGTGTAGCAAACACCTAAACTGCTGTTATCAAACCAATTTTTATTTACTGACAGTAAATTATGACATTTTATACGGAGAGGATAACAAAGTACACAAGATAGTTTTTTGTACAATTAAAATCAACAGATTTAAATTCATATAAATTTTAGGCAAAAACAAATAGCAAATCAGATATTTTAATCGTTTTCTACGTGTTATTTAACCCTGAAAGTTTTTCTGTAAATTTTAATAAGTTCTGGATCGTTGTAATAACAGTATATTTATTCTTTGGAATACAGAAAAATTTTACACCACGTGAAATTTTGGTACGTTTATTTTAAAACTTTACATCATGTGAATTTTTGGTACATTACCGGCCCACCAAGCAAAACCGGTGGTTTCTTGGTTGATCAAATCATACACCACAGTATACTAGGTCTTCTAATTCGTTAAGAGACCGAAATGCGCACCAAATGCTTTTCGAGAGATCTCCTCCAGATCACTGGTATCCACGATTTTGTTATTTACTGGAATAATTTGACTGGGATAGTGACGAATATTTCAAAATTTCACATCATGTGAAATTTTGATACGTTTATTTCAAAATTTTAAATCATGTGAATTTTTGGTACGTTTATTTTATTTTAATCCTAGTTGTATATATGTTATTTAGTGAAAATTAATAATACTACTTTATTTTAGAAATAATATTATTTTGAATATATAAATAAAAAAATATTGTAATATAAAATTATATAGTGAGCCCACCAATTCATAATTTATTCAACAATATATTTGATTTTTTAATCACAATTTTAGCATTTTCATATTTAAGTTATTTTCAATTGTTTAATTTTTGAAAACAAAATAACAAAATTTAAAGTATTCTATTATTCTGCATAAGAAATATATTTTCTAAAATAAAAAGTTGACCTAAAATAAGTTGTTATTTTATTCATTTAAACTAATAAATTAATGGGGAAATTTTTTCAACCATGCCGTTCTATAATGAATGGATTAAGGGATTGTTCGATTGTGGCTTAATAAGTCGTACAGACCTGTTCAGTTGTGACTTAATCACTCAACCAAGTGCTTAACCGCTCAGTAAAAAATGATGTGTTATTTGCATTCAACGATGTTTATTAGACATCAATCCTTATCACATTAAACAACAGCTTCTACAAGAAAAAACCTTGTAAAGAGGCTTTTTCAACGCTTGATCTTCTTCCTTTCTATGCTTCTGTATCTACTCCATTGCTCCATCTATATGTTTCTTGATGGCTCCACTTTTTCCTTTATCCATTAAAACGGAACCCACTTGAGTTAAATACGAGGAAGAAAGCAAATGGGTAAATCTGTCAAAATTTGCCTTTTTTTCACTATCGATATGTTCAAGATACAAAACTTGAAATTGGCTATTGCTTGATCCTTATTTGCTCCCAATTTCTGAAAATTTTTGAGATCCAGTTGTTTTTTAAGTTTGGTAGTCATTCTGCTATATAAATCTTGAATCTTGATTTTCATGAGATGTTTGATAATATTGAAAATTTGATGAATCTTTTTGGTAGTGTAACATTTGGTTTGGTGTGATTCATTTTTAGTTTGCAATATTTTCTGCTTCTGAAAACATTAATCATCAAAATAATATATAACATGTAGCAACTATGTTTTTTTTTATTGTATAATTACTTTATTTCATGACAATTTAGTTGTAAATTTAAGGGTTAATTGTAATGGTTGGTCAATCAATTTTAAGGGTTCATTGTTTTTTTAATCAATTTTATTACCAAAATTTTGGTATAAAAACAAAAAACAGATAGTAAGGAGTATTTTAGTCATTTTTATCATTCAGACTGTTTATTTAACAAAACAATCCAACAACAACTTATTTGTTATTATACAGATAATTTTATTAATACAGATAGTTTTATCCATACAAATATTAATGAAAAATGAACTAAACAAGAAAATTGTTGAGCCACGACGGTTGATGTATGTTTGTAGAGTTTGCACTAAACACACTCTTTCTCTCCCTCTTTCAATCCCACCAATCACGTTGTACTTTTCCTATCCCACCAATCACATGACTACATCATTCTTTTATTTTCTTTCCTTACAAAAAGATGATGTAACTTTACATGATTGATGGACACGGAACTGATCTCTTCAAAAACAAGTAGAATAACATCTCTTAACCGATGACCATCTTTCCACTAACCTAGCATTCTCCATCCCTCGAGACCAACAAGGGGTAGTACAAGAATATTCAACAATTGTCCATCGACTACACCTTAGGTTTTCATGGCATTCGATTCTCACCAACCTTTGCGTTACTCAAGCCGACATTCTCACTTCCGTTTCGTCCAATACCGCTCACACGGGTGCTTCACTCCAAGGCAGAAAGCTCCCCTTCTTCGAAAAGGATTAGAATTTTTTTTATATGTTATCTTCAAGGCCCTATAAAATTAGTTGAATTGCACAAACAAACTGGCCCACACCCACTTTTATTTAAAATACCCATTTTTGCACAGGCCATGACTATTTACATAACAGTAACAATAAAACCCACCAACGTTGCATGTCACATGTCAACTTCACCACACCTTTTTTTCATCTTTATGTTCTTTTTATTTATTTTTACAATTTAACCTCGTTAAAAGCACTTGAATATATACATATGAACATACTCGTACACCCTTTTTTTATTATCACGCACCACCAGCAGTCACACTCATTGCATTTAATTCAACATGTTGTTTACCGTTGCTTTGTGGATGAACGATGAAAGTCGCACGTGCCTCTTCGGAAGACGACCGATCATCCGCTACTCGAGAAGCGGATATCGAACCGACTACAGGTTGGTGGTTGTTTTCGTCTTGGTCTTTGGAAACAAATTCCCATTCTTCTTTGAGTGAAGTTACTTCCACGCCCTTTTCGTGGTGCTTTTTGAGCTCAAATAAAGTCGGTAGGATCACGTAATCATTTACGGGGTTGTAGAAGGGATCATGGTCTGCTTTCAGCCAGTGCTTGACTATCCGGAATAGGTGTTTGTCTTTTAGGATCCCTCGGTGATCACCTGGGATACCGACCCTAGCTTCTGCATCGAGCCCATCAGCCTGATTCAAAAAAAAAAAAAACTATCGAACAGGCTTCGACTCTATAATATTTTATAGGACAAAATGCAACAAAGTTTGTTTAATTCATAAATGTTTAACAGATCACCTTTTTTTCTCAATCAATATAACAAACTTCCAAAATTTCCTATTTTGTACTTATTTTGACCGATAACCTGTCATCTTGTAACATTTGATGACATACGATAATCAAAATCGGCTGGTTACCGGTAAAAAGGAGTACAAAATAGGAAATTTAAAATACGTTGATTATTTTAATCTATCTTACCCTAAATAGAAAATCAGACAAATTTCATTGGTTTTTGATGCATTTTGTCCTATTTTATACAGCAGTGACGGCCAAACTAAAATTCAAAGAAATGTTCAAAGGTTCATTTTCCTCAGTTCTCTATTTGTGGGTCCCATGTCACTTTTCCGATGAGACCCACAACCGTTACAGAACACAAATGAAACCTCAACCGTTACAGAACACAAATGAAACCACAACCGTTACGCAATAGAAAATGGGGCCCATAATCATTACACAATAGAAATGGCACACATAACCGTATTTTCAATTCTTACACAATACAAAGGGGACCTACAAACTAAAATTGATAAAAGAATTCCGCACATTAAATTAGCTACATTTGGTCGACATGGTAGTAAGTTAGTAACTTTCATCCATTAATTTACTGTCTAAATTGGTACGAGAGCATAATGACACACAAAACTAAGCTCCTGCTAATTTTTCACCATTTAACATCTTCATTTTACGTCTCATTTACCATGGAAGAAATGAAAGATGTAAACTATAGGTCTCAATTATACGCCCTTAAAAGAAATGAAGATGGCACCCCATGACATTGAGAACAAAATAAAATGGTAAAAATCAAGAAAACCTAAGAGCTTCTGAAATCCACTTTGCACATGGAAGATAAATGAACCAACTACTTTGCAAGATTTTGTCACCATTCAAGTAAAATGGCATCTAAACACAGAAAAATGTAGAAAAATAAGATATGAAATCAACACAAAAAATACTCACATTCAGGTAAAGTAACTCGAAGAAAAAAAGGACTGTTCTTTACAAGTATATAGTATCAACAGTTTTGATTCAGAGGCATCAGCGGAGAACATGGGGGAGGGTTCACCGGAGAAGATGGGAGGGGGGAACATGACAGCATTTTATTGGTGATTTAGATCTCTCATTTTAACTAACAGGTAAAAGGACCAAAATGTCCCTCACTTAACAGGATTCTTTTAATGGAGTTAGAACAAGGACTTGTTTTGTAACAAAATGCACAATCACATTGATGTTTTCGATAATTATTACATTTTAGGGACTCAAGTCGTTGAACACTATAAAGCACAGGGACGAACTCTGTAATTCACTCTAACAGTAAAAACCAACTCAATCTTGGACAAACTGTTTCTACTCATTAGACAGTCATAACTACCAGATATTAATAAATCTAATAAGAAAGCTAGAAAAAGATAGAGATTAACATACCTTTGCAGATTCTACAGGTACTGTACCATCACCATCAACATTGACATAAGTTGCCTGTAGATGATGAACAACAAAATTTTATATGTTTGCATTAGAAAATAGGTGCAATGTACCAGTTCTTCCAATATGTATCATCAAGTAGAAGTAGTATGTATACATGAGAAAAGGAAGCAGTAATAGAGTTTCATATTGATAATAGAGCAAATGCATCTAAGGGGCTGTTTGGCAGTTGCTGAATGATTTAGTGCAGAATAGTTAAGAGGTTAGAATGGTTAAGAGGGTCAGAATGGTTGAGTGCTGAATGAAATAATGTTGTTTGGTAACTGTTATCTGAATGGCAGTAAAATTACCATTTTAACCCTATGAATGATTTAACCCTTTGAAATTCAAATTAAAAAAAATTAAAAGAAAATCCTTCCGTCGTTCTCATTGCATCCCTCTCAGGCTCCCACAGTCCCTCCCACTCATCATCTTCAATCGTTTTAAGGATTTGTCTCTCTCTGCCCTCTACAATTCTCACCTTGAAGAAGAAGGAGCACACATACAGTCTCTCTCTCTCCCTCTCTCCACCATCGCAAGCCGTCGAGTCCTTTTTCGTCATCCTCGTCGTCATCGTCTTACAAGCAGCTCATTCCTCGATGTATCACCGAGGAGGTTACAGATCCTTCACTCCTAGCCGGAAGTAGTCCGACTCGATGTATCACCGAGGAGGTTACAGATCCTTCACTCCTAGCCGGAAGTAGTCCGACTCGATGTATCACCGAGGAGGTTACGGAGGCCGTTCTCCTGTCATTTATCCGTCCACCGACGAGGTGATTGAAGAAGCGGTTGATGGTATCCCAAAGAGGATGGGCTGTGCAGCGATCGGGAATGGAAGGGGGAAGAAGAAAGGGAGCGACCAGGGGGAGATCTGAATGGGCACGGCTGCTTGGTGGGTGTGGAAGGGTATTGATGGAAGAAATGGTAATCTGAATGGTTGAGTAGCCCCCCACCCTCAAAATGGTTAAGAGGTATGTGTAACGATTCAGAGGGCTTTTTTTTTTGCCAAACACATTTTACCTCTGACCGATTCAGAGGTTGGCTCTTAATGGTGACATTAAGAGCCAAACAAACAGCCCCTAAGTTTGTTATAGTTCCTATTTAGTGTAACCAAGAATTATTTTTCTCAATCAATGTAACAAAGTTTCAGAACTTATTATGTGCCCATTTTGACACGTAACCCTGCTGATCTTGTAACATTTGATGATGTGGATACCCGTTTTAAAGGTTTGCAGATGTTTACGAAAGAGTTACAATGAAGTCGCCGATAAACTTGACATCCACATCATCAAATGTTACAAATCAGCAGATCAAAGGTCAAAATGGGGTACAAAATAAGAAACTTTGCTATATTAAATAGAAAATTTTGTTGCATCGATTGAGAAAAAAAATGTGTTACCATAAATAGGAACCAAGGAAACTTTCATTGCATTTTTCCCTTGATGATAAGATAGAATTCCCAAAATGGTAAAGCTAATCGTAATGTGTAAAATTTTCAGGTAAATAAACATTACATCGAGAAATGGTAATTCACATAGGTCCGAGACGGGTGAGTCCACGCTTCCATAACTGCACATCAGATGGTAGTATAGAGGTTATTTAGCTTCAACCAATTTGTAAGCTAAATAGCAGCCATCATAATAACAAGATTACTAATTTGACCTACTTTTTTTTTTTTGTTTTTTTTTTGGTGGGGGTGAAAGAAGAAGAGAAAACCTATACCTCACAGTCTGAGGAGTGTCCTGACCAGTGCCATAAACATTGTAGAACTTAACCTTTGGCGGAAGTTTGGCCGAAGATAAGATCTCTCTCGTTTTATTAGCCCAATGCAATATTGCTTTGTTGAATGGTAGAGGGATATCCACTCCATCGTAGCTCAGCTGTGAAAGGACCCATAAGCAATTTGTGCGCAGTCCATAAAAACAATTAAATAAAACATACCATACAAAGAGAGCATTTCCTATAAAAACTAACTGTTTACAATTTCAACATTTTGAAAATATGACATGGGAACACATAGGTTATGTGGTAAAAGTAATTCTTCTGTACATTCTTGCATGGACACTTGACATCATATCAATATTCTTGTAACCAATATTCACAATTAAAAAATTGTTGCTTCATACTTCCAATGTCTTCTATAATGATAGTTTTGAGGAATTGAGGACAAAAGAAGGTTCTATCAACTTCTCAAATCCAGCTTATATAAACGTCACGAAGTGGGTGTTTGTATTTACGATTCTCTGCTGTTTTTCGGGCGTAAATAATCTATGTTGGAAAAGTAAGAAGTTGGTACAAAAAATTAATCTTTTTAGGATAAATAAAAGATTATCTACGTTGGAGGGGGTGTTTGGATGTGCGTTCTTTAAAGTGATTATATGATATTAAATAGTCAGAATCTAATAATCAACAGCTGTAAGAGTTGGTGTTAATTTGGATGAGTTTCTATTATTTGAGGTTGTAATAATCAACTCATCAGTTGTTTTAGTGTTTGGCAAATGTTGATTATTTAAGAACCTAATAGATAAAATTACTCAAAAGAACATTTTAGTGAAAAAAGGAGAGGCGTCTTGTAAAATGACAATAGAAGTCGCTCAAATTTGGAGAAAAGGGAAGGTAAATAGGTATAAAATATTACCCTCTGATAATCAGTTTTGTTGCAGCTGGTATGAAACTGATTATTTGAACTCCAAGTAATCAGATAACCAGAAAGAAGAACCAGTTTACTAAAAACTGATTATTAGTTCCAAAATGGACATCCAGACACCCTTAACCTTAATCAAATGATCATTTTATCCTAATCCTTTAAGTCATAATAATCATGTCGAAGATTCACATCAAAACAGTCCTTAAAGTGAAGCTCACCTCATTGTTGGAAAGAGCCTGAGTGAAGATCGAAACTGCTTCCACCGGGGTGAATGTCTCCAGCATAGCAGCAGAGTTTCCTTCACCATCCTGAATCTCCTTCCAAATTTGTAACATAGGATCATGTTCCCATTCATAATCCAGACAGGCCATCAGTTCATATATGGATGGACATTCAATCAGCTGTCAATGCATAACCATGTTAGTAATGAAATCTACCCTTGTAAAACGTCATGCACGGAAATATTTTAACAGAAAAAGGATGTGGTCAGAAGGTACCAAGAAAGTTATAAAACAACCTTAGGATGCAATCCTAGAAATCTCCTATAGTCCAGGTATTAAATGGTTTAATTCAATGTTGGCTTTTTACAGCAGGTTCAACGTTTGGTAAAACAGACTTGACAGGACAGAACAGATAATATGACCAATTTACCCCTACAGAGTTGTCTATATATTTTGATTAATTTATGTAATTTATTAAACTATAAGAAAATAAATATTTTTAATAACAAAATATATCATTAGAAAGTTTTCATCAAGACAATTAAAATGACACCAAAATAAAAAGTTCATGTAGTTTCCGATTTTTATTTTAAACCTTTTCTATATTATTTTTCTGTTATTAATATTTAATAAATTACATAAATTAATCAAAATATAGAAATCGTATAAAAATAATATTTTGAGGACAGTGAAGTGAAAATTTAAAGAGCATAAAATACAATAAATATAATTTAAAGAACGAAAAAAATGTAAAGAGTGAGGCATATTTGATGTTTTAGAAGAGAATTAGATTTTATTTTGAGGTTATATTGGTAAAATATAAATTCGTTCCAGCTTGTTCTAGAGGTGCGGGTTGGAACACGCCTGATCCACATAAAAAGTCCTGCCAAACATGAAATCATGATCCCTGTTTTGTTCCGTCTGTCCAGTGTACCAAACGCACTCAAAGGGCATATAATTGTAAAAATAAAAGAGTTGGAAGATATGTAAATGCTTCCAAATATACCTCAAAATAAATAATTGCAGCAGTCCTGCCAAGATTATGCCAACAGAAACGGTAAAGTGGAAATATAATGTGTATCATCCACATTACATGGAAAAATGATTCTTCTTTATAGGAGAATAATTTTAAAAAATAGGTCTCTTTTCTTAGAGCTAGTGTAATGCAATACCGGTGCTAACCTAGACTCTCAAGAAAGAATGCAAAATTTGTGCAATGAAGGCCATGAAAGCATGACCACATGAGGGATAAGGGACACTAAATGGAGAGATATAGACCACATACCAGCTGATGCATACTCCACTTGGATACAAAAAAATATGCTTCCCATCCCTCCACAAATGACATCCCGTTTAATAAGGTAGATGTTACATATCCAGGTGCACCTGTGCAATTAATTAACATTTATATACATGCATAAGATAATTAAATCAAGTTCAATAATGAAAGAAATAGATTAATATTTAACATAGTTTTGAGTGAGTTCACTACACATGTGAATATATCTGAAACTACATACTTCTTCCGTCCCAAAATAAATGTCCACAATGAAAAAGGCCCAGTTTTAGACATGTGTAATTATTACACTTTTTAATCAACTAAGTGACATTTTTACCCTTAATGATGGAGGGAGTAAAGAATTTCTCCATCTTATAACTAAGGATAGAATTGGAAAGTATGCATTTACTTTTGAAAGTGAATCCTTATTTTAGAAAAAACTAAAATAGACACATGGACACTTATTTGGAGACGGAGGGAGTAAGGAGTTCCAATATTTTGCAACTTTGTTTTGTTCTGAATGGCCACAAAGATAGTCAATGCATAACTAGCAATAATCATCAAAAAGCGACATTTTGTACAATGAACTCGATTCAATTGAATAGAACTTTCCAGAAACAAACTTTGCTTGTCATGCGTGAGCTTCTAGGTTTAGGAAGAATGTCCCTGAACTTCAAAATGACTGCATCTTCAGGTCACTTACCCTGAAACGGTGCAGCAATTGCTATCCAGTTCTTGACGTATTTCTCAAAAATCTACAAAAAGTATCATATATATACACATAAAAATGACCTTCACATTTAAATAAAATAAATGAAACCAACACATGGAAAAAAAAAACCAAGAGCAAAGACAGTAACATGGACTTTACATCGCTGTGCAGGCTCATAAAACATTTGAGAAGAAGTCCACCCATTGAATGAGTAATTACGTTTATCTTCTTCCCCCCTGAAGCAGTATAAATTGCGTCCAATTTTGCAGCAAGACGATCCATTGTTTCTTTAAGTCTGAAATATGTATATAAATAATGAACTAATTAACCCGGAAGGCCACAACATGATGTAGCGGTTTTCCACATAAAATGTTTTGAATTTATATGCTACCTCAACTAATGGAACAAATAAGAAACAACGAAAACTAAATATTGCATATATAAAGCACTTAAAAACATGATTGATATCCTAGTTGAAAACCATTAACTTAAAGTAAAAAGATACACCAAAGATAAGTTGCATAAAATCTAAAATTTATGCTAAAAGCTTATAAAACTCACCAACATATTCGCATCATGGTCATTTGTTTCAATGATGTTCACACAATTCATTCTACATAATGCATGTTTGAAAGCTCAACTATTACACTAAACACAGAACCTTTCCACGATGAAAAAATTTCAAAACATAGTTTCTATTAAGTCTAGTTTTACATTCAACATATAAAACCTGTGAGGCTATGACCAAAACGAATGCAAGTATTGAGTTATAGGAATAGAGATGATGCCCACAAATGTATGAAGAAAAAGGGTGATTCAAACTATGAATTGTATAATACGATAAACCAAACCATTGTAAGTAGCAGGACTTTGCCAAAACAGTATGAAACTAGAAAGAAACAATAAAATAACTTTGATAAAAGAACAACATACAACCATGTAATATTCTAACAAATAACATGCAATTATTTCATGATTTATTATGATGATGATTCCATTGTTAAAAGTTGTGTTCGGACACTTGAGCATCTGACCACTATTGATTTAGAGTGTGATATATGTGGCTTATAGATGCTCTTGCTAGCACTTTATGAGAATAAGCATCTTTAAACCCTTATTAGCCGGGCATTGTTACTTGTAACTTAATGTTGCTATAATTGCCAAGGACCTATTATACAAACATTCTTTGTTTAGGTATATAATATTTATATACAGCAAATACTCACACACGCTCCTCACCTTTGGTGAGGTTTGAACCCTTGACCTCTGAGGAGGTTGGGCTCTACCGTTAACCTAAGTACCACTGGGCTAAATGACCTTTTGCTTAGATAAACATTCTTCTGACAACTGCTTATAGTGTTTTCAAACTAGCTTACGTACAACCAATCTGTAAAAGACAACGGATGTCCACAAAAACTAAAATATACATCAAGCACAATCAACCTGAAATGGTAAATGAGGAAATAAAAAAGAAACATATATTGAAGGCTCTATCCATTTGATAAGAATGGATAACATAAAGACAATCTTTGATTGCAAAGTTGAATCCACTACGATGGAAAATGTTTATCATTCACATGCTTATAGCATCTATCTAGTTGTACCTGTTACTTTGTCGGAAATCGTATCCAAACCCAAAAAGAGTTTTTCCTTCTTGGTATCCCCAGCTTGTCATCTCATTTATCATGTCATGGAAATAGCATACACTATCACGTCCAACGATCTGTCAAAACAGATATTCACATGAGAAAAACCGTTCAGAAATTTAGTACAGGTTTTCATGATTTGTTTGTCTAAAGTAAATGCACTGATTATAGTTGGAGGTATCACAAGCACCGTATGTTTCATGACCATCTCGTTCAAAACATAACCTCATTCTAAATTATAAAAGCTAACTGTAAAAATGCTGATTATATTTTACTGAAAGCTACAAAATATTCACACACGTCTTGTTATAAACTCAAGAAACAGAAAGAAATGGAGTGTGCAAGGGATGAAGCAATGTATCAAACTCCACGAAAACTAGAATATAATGGATGCAAAGCGAAGCTGATTCCAATATAAGCATTAAAAAACGCACCATATCAGGATCCAAGCAATCAATTGCATAGAGGCCATCTCTGTCCTCAGGAACGACAATACTGGTGTTGGGATCCAAAGACATAGTTTTACCTGGTTCACAGCAAGCCAATGAGTACATTCATAATAAAGACACGTAACTAAAACATAGCAAGATACATTTCATTCTCAGGAAAAAAGCACAGGAGACAAATGTATAGTAGGTAAGTTTGGGATAGCAATCGCCATTCAGGTCCAGGTGCTCAGCAGTTAGCCAAATTTTTGGCCTGCTCAAATATTAATCTTTTCTTCCTCTGTGGTCTCCATTGATGCATTACCACCAGTTTTAGTATAGCCTACTAAATTCTTAGCTATGGTCATTTTTATAAGTCTAGAAACACACAATTTATTCCTTAAAGGTCCTCAATCCAGAAGTCTCTCTATAAGGCGGTATTTGGAAGTGCTGCAAAAATAATAGTTTCGCAGTGTTTGACCGAATTGAAACTGATTCTGATTCTGTAATTTTTAGGGCAATCTGCTTCAAGAAAACTGATGTTTGAGGGGAAATTAACAATCAGTAACTTCAATATTATCTGATTCCTATTCTTGATGTCCCATTACACCCCAAAATTTTGAAATTCAAATGGAGACCGTAATCGATGTACCCGAACTTCTCTCAAGTAATAACACAATCAAGGAAAACCAACAATAATAAATTACCAGTAGCAGAATCGAACTGGCACCAAAGTTTGGCACGGAATTCATGATCAGCTTCCCAAATCCGAACCCAAACTCGCTCTTCTTTCCCAGTTTCACCATTTAAAGCATGCAGAATTGAACCAGCAATCCCAGGCACTATAAGAACCGGATCAAGATTTGGATCAATGTAAGGCTCCGGTTTCTTAAGAATCTTTAACCATGCCTCCACCGCTTTAACTACATCCTCCAACAACACCGCCATCCTAAATTGAGTAAATTCCAAATTCTGAACAACACCACCTACCAGAATCCAATCGGCTCTCGCCTGAAATCAACAAACCAGTTCTTCTGCAGATTGTAATGCTGAATCGTAGAGAAAATTGATGAAGTTGGTTGAATCAAGTGAATTAGGGTTTGTATTTTACGTGATAGAGGGAAATGGGTAAGACGATAAGGATTTATTGAAAGATGCCGTGAAAGGGTTGAAAGCTATGTGGATCACGACTTGACGAGTGTTATTTTATTTGGGTGAAAAGACCAAATTGCCCATTAACCCATTATTCAATAAAATACTATAAAAATTGAATCAAATTATTAAACCTAAAATAAAGTAATTAATTATTAAATCTAAATTAAATTAGAATAAAAAATTAAACTGAAAATTTTATATAAAAAACGAGAACTTTTAAATTATTATTTTAATACTAAATATCGATATAAATTTTTATATAAAAACATCATTATTTTCTCAAAACTGTATTATAAAATCAACATAAACAAACATTAAAATCAAGATTTATCTTGTTGCATTGTATGATTACGTTTTTAATATATTTATTGAATTCAATTAAGTATTAAAAAATTAAGTTCATAACCTCTTTATGCATAAAAAAAGAAAAATGATTTCTATTTATCATAAGATCGTTTATTTTATTAAAATTTTTATTTAAAGTTACATACCTAAATATTTTTATAGTATTATTTACGGTATTACCATATAAATAATGTGATTTGTAATATACTTACAATGTTATATTATTGGGACAGATTCGGTTGCAAACCAGTTTTATATTGTGAACAGAGGAGAATTCCAAGCGCACCACATTTCCATAAATTTACGAGTTATTCATATCATCATAAATATGTATTATTCACCTTATATAGTGTATCATTCATCATGAATAATTCATAAATGTTCACCTTCGTTATTCATGATAAATATGACACGTGTCATTTTCTCCTTTGTCCTCTAATTCATAACCAAAAATCGGTTTGCAATCGAACTTTTTCTTTACAGTATTTTTTTCATATATATTTTTATAAATAATAATTTGGTTTTATCATGTAACTACAATATTATTACTTAATTATTCGATAAAATAATGAAATCCAAGTTTGACGCCATTCCCACATGTTTCTATTAAGTCATTTATTTATTTGTTAAGAGACCTACTACCAATCTTGTTAATTAAGGTTTGATACTGAAAAAGGAAGACATCTAAAAAGTTATCTAACTTTTGTGAATGGTAACCGGAGGTTTTTGGATTAGTTTATACATATAGATCAATCCTTTCGATGATTACAAAATGTCTGAAGTCAATCGCAGGTGAATCTCCATTGTCACAAAGGATTTGACAACGTTTGATTCGAACCCAGACTAGATGAGATTTTTCATTACATCCCCCGAGGCTTAACAGGTGCACCACAACCCAAGAGTTTTGTGGAAGCATTTGTTCGAAACTTATATAGGGATGTACAAAAATCTGACCAAACCAATAATTTGACTCAATTAAACCGAAAAATTAGGTCGAATAATCCAAGCTAATGTCTTATTGATTTTATATAATGTTGTTGATTTTAGGGGTCGTTTACCAATTTTTACTGGGAAAGTGTTGTCCGGGTAAGAGTGCTGACCCGAGTAAGTGTTGTCGCGGTAAGTGTTGTCCCGGGTAAGAGTGTTTACCAAATGTTTTTTGGTAAGTGCTTACCAACAATAAAATGACCATTATAACCCCATTTATAATTATATGTTAAATATTATGTAATTATTTTTGTTATAAATAGTTTAATGAAAGGGAAAAAAACAAAATGCATATTTTAAATAAATATTTACCAATAAAAATAATACTATTTTACTTTGTTTATAATAAATGTTTTCTTGAAACCTTAAATGTGTTATTGTTGGAGATGGAGCTCTTGGCAAAACCCCATTTCATATTATGTTGTTATTTTCCTTGAATTAGAAGCATTTCAGCTCGGTTTTCAGATCTGGAGCTGAAATTTTTAGGGTTCTTGACATTTTTTTTTATCAACCTGGATATCTAACTCGCTATGCGAGCCGACTAATCTCAGGGCGACCACCTGCTTTACAGATAGTTCGAAGTCACAACATTTTAACCTCCATGGCCACAAGGGGATTTTTTATTTTTCTTGGATTTGAACCTGAGACCTCCTGGTACTTTTGACCTTTGGAGCCAAACTCAAACCAATCAGGACCACCCTTATGGTTGGTTCTTGACATTTAGGGTTTAGGCGCGTGCTTCATTTTTCATGAATACACATGTATTTTTTTAGGGTTTAGGGCTCTGGAGTAGTAAAATCGTGGATATATTTTTTTGTTGTGGCGATGAATCGGAGTTTCCAGGCACCGAAAAAGGGAATGCTGGGCCCAGCGGCGGTTAAGCAACGACAGCAGCAAATGAGCTTTAGGAAGTCTGTAATGAAAGAAAAAGAAGAGGAGTTAGGTTTATTTTTGGAAATGGAAAAACGAGAAAAAGAGCGTACTGGTCTTCTTCTTCAGAACACAAAAGAGGAGCTCAATTCATCACTCGGTAGTTCATTAATTTGATCTTTTTGTGAAAAAAGGGCATGCTTGGAAAGTTAATATATGACCTGGGTAAGCATCATTTTCGTGTTGATTCAGTAAGTATTTAGTCAGCATCTCGGTCAGAGTGGTATTTTGGTAAACAATTTGACTGCTAACCGAGTCAGCGTTGCTGACCGGTCAGAGCCTAGTAAACATCCTCTTAGTGGATCACCAAGTTATTTGTGTAACTGGATTCTTGATAGTAAATTTATATACCCAAATATGTGGCACAATAAGTGGTGCAAGTGCACATCGACTACTATGATCGCCTTCAAATAATGAAGTTGTGAGTCCGACAATACGATCAATCTTCAATATCACTATGAATCCATGGCAAGCTTCATGTTAGAACTTCAAGAACATCAAGAACACATAGAGAGAAAAAGTCAATTGGTCAGACTTTATATTTATCTCTCAATGTACGTATGTTTTACAATTGAGCTCTCTCACTCTCACAATCACTAGAAGACAAACCTATTTATAGGTCAAACATTGTAAGCTTTAGTCAAAGTCAACAATACAAACAAAGTCAAACTAACTAAAATATAATTATTTATCTTTCAAGACGAATACAATTTATCACTAAAATTCAATCCTAACATTCTCCCCCTTTGTATTCAGGCTTGAAAAAATTTGTGCGCTTTGAATCTCTTTTGAACTTTGACGCTTTAAGCTCTTTATGACTTCTTGAAATCTTCAAAACAATCTTCTAACAATCTCTGCTTTATGATCTTCAGAAAATCTTCTGTTGAGTAAATCTTTCAACATTCTCCCCCTCGAATGTAGAACAAAAATGATCTTCTGTTTTTACAATGAAGAACAATAACAGTAACAATCTTCAGAAATAATCTTCAGAATATGATCTTCAACGAACTTCTTCAGATAACATTCACTAACATTCTCCCCAATAAAGAATTTCTTTAAATAAAAATTCACAAACATTCTTCCCAAAATTAACATTCTCCTTTTTAAGAAATCTCTATCAGTAAACTTTTGTAACGATGATCTCCACATTCTATTTTTCTTCAAACAATGTAGCACAGGAATAATCTTCAGTTACACTCTTTTGAGTCTTTTGCCGATTCCCAATCTTTATATCATATTCCCCTTTGATCTATATATCATATTCCGTTTATATCATTCAGAATTGATCATTTCATTCATTATATCTTACTTCCCCTTATGATGAAATGAGAAGCATTTACATCATACACCAGAATGAATGAAGTTTTCAGTGAAAGCCGTCAATTCATAAACTTGTAAGCATATCTTTTCAAATCCACTTGTATAATCTTTTCAGATTAAGAGAATGGGAAAGTAACCAATTTCAAATTATGAAATTGATAACAATCTTATAAAAGATTGGTCTGTGAATATAACAAAAATACTCAGTACAACGAATGTACTTCATATATGAGACTTTTTGAGGTTTATCTCACCAGGGCTTCAATTCAATCATCGATATCTTACAAAAGGTATATTTATGAATGTTACGGCAAAATAACATATAAATTGCAAAATCTGTGTAGTGTAGAAAGATAAAGCAACATATGCTTCTATTTAGGTTCAAAAAGATAAACCGTGTGGACTACACAAATTCATCTGACTCAATATATGATCAAAAAGACTTGAAGGGGGAGGAGGACATATATCCTTATATATCAATATCAACTTTCTTCGAATGAAAAACTGATAGATTGTGAGCTGCGTGCCCCAAGTGTTATTGAAACACTTATCTGTTGAGGGATAAATGAGTAGCTGGTGGGGTTGTGACAAAAATTGGCTTGGGCTTTGCCTTTTTCAATATTAGTCTCGAAAGAATTGAGAACTAATAGATTTCGTGGTATACCCGAAATTTAGAGGTTTAGAACAGGATTTTTGTAATCTTTTAATACTGATACAACTCTCATCAATTCTTTTGGCTCACAACAACTACCTATCTTATTTTCATTTTAAGCTCGCACACAAACCCTTTTTGTATTTAAGCTCGCACACAAACCCTTTTTGTATTTAGCTCACTCAGATATGATTGTCCTCATGGGTAGGTCTGTCGGTTCTGACATTCCATTGAGGTATTTATATGAAACACTCAGTCCCTCCTAAAATAACAGTATGCTCATATGATCACAAACAGTTGATCAAAATATTGTTGTAAATAAGCTCAAATGATCAGATAAAAATTTGATCAAGATGTGTAGTGATACGTACTAAGTATTTAGTGCTTAAAGCACCATTTTATTCTCTTTTTGATAGGTTATTTTCTATTTATATCTCAACTTTGAGTCATTTTATCTCTTTTCTCTATTTTATGCTAAGATGAATGATAAACCTGTTTTTGTTGGATTTTGGTCTAATTTGAACTTATTTTGGAAAGGTTGAAGCTGTTTGATGCTGCGGGAATGTGGCAGCATGACCTGATGGTGGAGAAATAGATGGAAAAGACTTGGAGTTGACTGACAAGACTAGAAGCTAACTTTTGAAAGACTTCTTATTTGTAGGACAGTTGTATGTTTTGAGATTAGTTGGAACTTGTTAAGCTAATTTAGTTACTTTATAACTATTAGTTTTACTTTATTGTACTTTTGGTTAAGTTAGAACTAATTTGTG